AAAGCTCACCGGAAGCACTTTTTCATCAAAACAAGATGGCGGCGCCCAGCTGATGCCGGTACCGGGCTGCGCCATAAAAAAGGTTGGGGATACTGGGCCGCGGCATAAAAAAGGTTGGGGATCACTGGTCCAATAGGTAGAAGGTGGGAAGAACGGGGAGGAGAAACAGAGATATGGTCTCTCGTTCGTTTTCTGTGCATGACACATAATCTTCTTTCAGTCTATTGGTATTCTTCCATGGCCATCCTTGATGAGATATTTTTCACCACTTGATAATGATCATCATGGATCATCATTTTTACAGGTTATAGGAACTGGGCATGGCTAGTCTAGTGAAGAAAAGGACCAGGGGAGACATGATAGCAGTCTTCCAATATTTGAGGGGCTGCCACAGAGAGGAAAGGGTCAAGCTATTTTCCAAGGCACCTGAAGGCCAGACAAGGAATAATGGATGGAAATTGAACAAGGAGAGATTCAACCTAGAAATAAGGAGAAATTTTCGGACAGTGAGAGCAATCAACCGACCAACAGCTTGTCTTCAGAATTTGCGGGAACTTTATCACTGGAATCTTTCAAGAAGAGATAGGACTGCCATTTGTCAGAAATGGTGTAGGTAGGGCAGTGGTTCTCAACCTGTGGGTTGCAACCCCTTTGGGGATCGAACGACCCTTTCACAAGGGTCGCCTAAGACCATCGGAAAACACAAATTTTCGATAGTCTTAGGAACCGGGCCATAATTTTATGATTGGGGGTCACCACAACATGAGGAACTGTATTAAAGGGTCACGGCATTAGGAAGGTTGAGAAGCACTGGTGTAGGGTCTCCTGCTTAGGCAAGGTTATGTGATCAAAATTTGGGTGCTTGGCAACTGGCATGTATTAATGACGGTTGCAGTGTCCCAGGGTCACACAATCGTTTTTTGCAACCTCCTGACAAGCAAAGTCAATGGAGAAGACAGATTCACTTAACAACAATATTATTATGTAAAATGGGGGCAAAACTCATGAACTGACTCACTTAGCAACAGAAATTTGGGGCTCTATTATGGTCGTAAGTTGAGGACCATCTATATATCCCACCCAAGGGTGGGATTCAACTGGTGTTACTACTGGTTCAGTGACAGTGCGTTTTGCACGCATGTAAAGCATTCGGAAAGAAGTCATCAGCTGTGCCACCTGGACAGCTGACAAGCGCTGCGCACGGGTGCGCAGCATTTGAAAATCCTTGTCAGGCTACAGAACTTCTCCCATTCACTCAACTAGAATGAACTTCTGAAAACGTATCAAAACGAATCAAAAAGGAATCCTTTATTGAGATGAGATAATTCCTGTAGGAGTTCAAAGCAGCGTCTGAGGTCTCTCAGGCATACAGGGATACATAAGTGAGTTTAGAGCCCCTCCCCTTATCTCGATGTGTATTTAGTGAAACAAAAGCCAGTATGGTAATTCCTCCCCACCCCTTTTGTAAGTAACGATCTTTTTCACAGTTTCCCAGGGCATACCTAATTTCCCCCACCCCCTTTTTAGAATGAACTTTTCCAGAGATTCCCAGGACCCATCTCACTGTGGAATTTTTATGATCTTCTCATCTCCTGGCTGTGCCTCTCAGAGGTGATAGCTCCGGCCATCTGGCTTTTCTCCCTTCATTGTATCATGCGTGGGTTATACAAATTCGATATAAGATTAAATATATTCAGGTTACATCAAGAAAGGATTTCTTTATCAGCCTCCCCACCCACCTTTTCTTCTTCCACTGAAGAAATGACAGATATACGGATCTGACATCCTGCCCTCCTTAAAAAACAGATAGGTCTACCTGGAAAAAAACAAAAATCATGCATTACATTTGCAATTCAGGATGGTTTATCAGGGTATTTTTGGTGGAACTTATGTAGTAATGTGGGTGCTTTTACGTGTTGTTTGGCTACCCACTCATTTTCTGAGGAAGGAAGGTGTTTCCAAGCTACTAAATATTGTGTGGATCCACGATGAGTGTGTGAATCAAGGATATCTTTAATTTCAAAATGTTGTTCCCCGTGTACCATAATGGGGGTTAGAGGTGTGGGAAGTGGGGGGTCTGAGGTTTGAAGTGATCTCTGGTTTGAGCAAACTACAGTGAAATACTGGATGAATCTGCCTAAGTGTTTTTGGAAGTTGAAGCTCTACCGTCACAGGGTTAATAATTTTGGAGATGGGGAATGGGCCAATGAATTTTGGTCCTAATTTCTTAGAGGGTTGTAATGATTTTAAGAATTTTGTGGACAAATATACACGGTCCCCAATCTTGAAAGGTTTAGATTCACAACGTTTTTTGTCTGCTTGAGTTTTGTAAACTGCTCTAGCTTCCTGTAAAGATAATCTTACCACTGGCCACGTGGCTTGTAAGTTATCCATCCACTCCTTAAGGGAGGGGATTTCAGGATCTTTGGTGGGTAGTTCTGGCATGGGGTTGAATTCTTGGCCCATGGCTACCTGGAATGGGGTGAGCCCCGTGCTGCTATGGACTGAGTTATTGTATGCTACCTCTGCAAAGGGAAGAAGGTCAGTCCAATTGTCCTGTTGGTGATTAATAAAACATCTTAAATATTGTTCTAATACGCTGTTTACTCTCTCCGTCGATCCGTCAGTTTGGGGGTGATTTCCTGACGACAACCCCTGGGTGGAGCCTAATAGGTTTAAAAATGCCCGCCAAAATTTGGATGTGAACTGAACACCCCTATCTGAGATAATCCGTTCGGGAGCTCCATGAAGGCGATGGATGTGTATTAGAAACATCTTTGCCAATGCCTTGGCAGTTGGGATCTTTTGGCATGGAATAAAGTGAACCTGTTTGGAGAAAAAGTTCAGTTACAACCCAAATGACAGTATGTCCAGCACTTTCGGGAAGGTCCACCTATAAAGTCCATAGAGATCTCTTTCCAGGGTGCAGAAGGGTCTGCTACTGTTTGTAAAAGTCCAGGATATTTTCCTTGTCTTCTCTTTGCAGCAGCACAGGTGGGGCAGCTCGCAGCATAGCTTTCAATGTCCTTTTTGAGGGACGGCCACCCAAATTGTCTTTTGATGAGGTGCAGAGTTTTTACAAACCCAAAGTGTCCTGCTATTTTGGAGTCGTGGCTGTGCTGCGCAGAGCAGCTGAGGTTGAAAAAACAGGAAATAGAGGACAGCCAAGAGGCCAGGCGGGCGGGTGGGCAGGCGGGCCAAACAAATGACAAAAAGGTCGTTGCACCGAACCGGTTCTGCTGCTTTTCAGAGCTACCAGTTCTACAGAACCGGGCCGAACCGGTAGCATCCCACCCCTGATCCTACCTTTATTGCAAGGAATGTCTTGGCCAAAAAAGCATATGGGTGAGTGGGACCTGAGTCCTTATATTACCCTCCTTCTCTAGGGCGGACATGGATAAGCTGTGGGATCACCTGCAAGATACAGATTTGGGCCTGGATAGCACTGAATGGAAAGTGACAGAGCAAAGGAGCCACCTCAAAGCATTGAATGAAGAAGCAGACAAACTGAACCAGACCGTCAACTACCTTAGAAGTCAACTGGGAAAGATGGTAAACGCCAGCTTCAGTGGTAAGGAATTCAGTTTGGGGTTGCCACAATGTAAAAAAAGAGGTTGAGGCTCTAGAAAGAGTGCATGCAGATAAGAGCAACAAAGATGGTTAGGGGACTGGAGGCTAAAACATATGATGAATGGTTGCAGGGACTGGGCATCGCTAGTCTAGTAAAGAGAAGGACCCAGGAGAGACATGATAGCAGTCTTCCAGTATCTCAGGGGCTGCCACAAAGAAGAGGGAGTCAAGCTATTCTCCAAAGCATCTGAGGGCAGGACAAGAAGCAATGGGTGGAAACTAATCAAGGAGAGAAGCAACCTAGAATGAAGGAGAAATTTCATGACAGTTAGAACACATTAATCAGTGGAACAACTTGCCTTCAGAAGTTGTGAATGCTCCAACACTGGAGGTTTTTAAGAAGAGATTGGGCAACCATGTGTCTGAAGTGGTGTAGGGTTTCCTGCCTCAGCAGGGGGTTGGACTAGAAGACCTCCAAGGTCCCTCCAAGGTTATTCTATTCTAATTGTAGTTGCCATGTTACATAAAAGGAGCATCCATACAAGTCATGTTCCTTTCCTGATAAACCCTGTTTTTCCTCTGCTGGCAGAGTCTTTCCGTAGCATCGTGGAGTACTTCCAGCAATCGGAACAGGCCCTGAGGCAGGCCAATGCCTCTGTTCGAGGGCGTCAAAGTCCCGTGGTCCAAGCCAAACATACCCGGGTGGTCACGGTTGAGCTGTTGAGACAAAGAGGAGAGGCTTTTGGCAAGAGGGCGGCTGCTCACCAAAGGACTCTGAATAACATCCAACGGAAGGTTGATGCTCTCCGCCTGAACAATATAAACCAGAAAGTGAGTCCCATAAGAGGAAAAGAATAGTAATGGCAGAAGCCGAGAGGAGTTTTCTGGGAGAAGGAAATGATAGCCCCGTCCAAACTGCCTTCTGGTTAGGCTACAGGTGGACCAGCGTGCCAATTCTGGTTCTGCAAGTTTGCCGGGTTTACTAGGTTGAATTTGAGAACTTTTCTGTAAGAATGGTCACTTAAATGTGTATGTTTTAGGTGTGTGTGTCTCTGAACACACACATTTTTCTTTGCAATGGTGTCTAATACACACAATTTTTAAAATATTCCCTGTCAGGCCCCAAGAACCAAGGACGACATATGGAGTAGCTTCTGAGTAGTTTCCTTTATTGTTCTTCACCAACAGACAGAATCTTGTCAGACTAAAGCAACTATCTACATAACTACAGCTACGTATAACTATAAGTTATACTCTGGGAACTGCTAGTTTTAACTCTCTGCCTGCTGAGCAAACTTTCCAAGCTCTATTCCTCTTTGCCCTCTGGAAAGCAGTCCCTCCCCCCTGGGAATCCATATTACATTCCACCACATTCCCTAATGTAATAGATGTTTATACATGGCATTTTGTATTTTGTTGAGATTTTTCCCTCATGTGTCATTTTGAATAGGAATTACATTGCAGAATTTGGGGAAATGCCAATGTCAAATTTAGGTTCATGCAAACAAAATAGACAAGTTTGCAATCAAATGCACATTTAATTCATTTCCCTTTCCTGTTCCTTGTTCCTGAGTCCGGCATTTTCATGCTTGGTCTATTGATGAGGTCAACAGCTCATCAGAGGCCTCTTTTCGCTGGATCATCTTTGTTTGTTGTCTTGTTCTAGATCTGCGGAGGTTCTGGAGAAGAGGCCTGTGAAGAAGCTTCTTGTGGAGGAGCTTCCTGTAAGGACAGTTCAGGCCAAAGGCACTGTGGAGGCCCTGGTTGTACTGGAGCTCTTCCTATGTCCCTCAAGGCCCTACATTCTGCCCAGAATATCTCACAGCAGCTGGAGACCACAGCAAGTCAGTTGGTCACCATTGTTAACAAGGTACAATGCCAGGCTGACTGTATGGAAGCATACCATGAAAAGATGCTGTTAAATTGTAGATCACATTTCTTAATTGATTTAACGTATATATATATATATGTGCTTTTGTCAGGTGTAAGGAACAAGGATATCCTAGAGGGCTGATCCAAAGGTACCCTGTTTCTCCAACAATACGGCCTCCCCCAGTAGGAAGTCCCAGCATGTTTTATAGGCATGAAATGAAATTAAGCCCTTCCCCCCAAATTAAGGCCTATATTAAAACATGCGAAATGGGGGGGAATGGTGGGGGGGCTGGCCGTTAGGAAGTACTTTTGTTGCACACCCGGATATGGTGCTGCCTGCGTTGACCCCAATACGAAGTGCCCCACCAACGCTGAGGTCAACATCCAAGCCGTCGCTGCCTGCCCTGCCCGCCCGAAGATGCAAGGGGGGGAATTAAGTCACCCCCGAAAAGACGGCCTAGACATTTTTTCGGGGCTCAGAAAAAAATAAGGCCCGGCCTTATTATATGAGAAACACGGTAGTATTCAACCAGTTCGCACCGGTTCAGGTGAACTGGTAGCGGTGATTTGGCATGGATTGCCGAACCAGTGGCGACCCCTGCCTGGCCATGCTCCCGACCCGATCGCCGGGTTGCCCAGTTGCTCACTTGCCTTGGTCACTCTCCAATTTTCCCTACCACGTTGCGGCCACGGTGCAGCTCGGACGGATGTTCTGCGGTGGCTGCCTCAGCCGCCTCAGGACATCCGCCCACCTGCCTGCCCTCCTGGAGCACGCTTACTTCCTTCTCCTGGCGGACACGCCTCTTCCAGACCAGACCAGACCAGACCAGCCAGCCGGCAGGTGGGTGAGTGGATGTCCCGGAGCTTCTTGCCCCCCCCCCCCCCCTGTCCCCAAGAGGCCTGAGCCGCCGCGTGCTTTTTTTTTTTGGTGCGGCTGGAGTCCAGCCCCACCGAAATAAGCACACCCTGTTCTATGTGCTGGGCCCGGCAAGTCTGAGTAGCCAGCGCGGAGAACAGGGCGGTGCTGGACTGTTGGAGAAGCGGAGCAAAGCCGGAGTTCAGTAATGTTTGTTGCAAGAAAGCCTGCAACGGCCATGTGTTCTCCAGCCCCACCGAAAAAAAGCACAACATGCACCGGCCCATTGGAGAAGCAGAGCGGTAGCTACATGGTTCTCGCACCAAAAAAAGGGGCAGCTGGAGGAGACTTCTTGCATTGAAAAAGAGGCATCTGGAGACCGAAAAGGAGTCCCCTCCAGCCGTCTCTTTTTCAGCGCAAGAACCCTCCACCAACTGGTAGTAAAAAAAAATTGATTCCCACCACTGGGCTGATCAGAATGGTGTGCTTATTTCTACTTGCCTATTGATAGGAATCTTTCCAGACTAATTTACTTTATTTATTTATTAAATTTGTTTGCCACCCATATCGCCATGAGGTAATTCTGCATTAATGACAGAGACTACTACAAGAAGCAATACAAGGTTTAGGGTGGGTGGGTGGGGCTGTTTTCCGTAGCTTTCTCCCCATCAGCTGATTCAAGGCTAGTCAGCTTTTCCAGTCCTCCCCTGGATTCAGACTCTAACACACTTTTACAGATTTGTTTTTGTTTTTCTTAATAGAATCTAAGTGGCTTATAAAAACAACATGCAGTGACGCGTAACCCTAAGTGTGCCTTTAAAATGGTACCTTTTTTGCGGAAGATATTATGCCTGATTTGCTAAGTATTCTGACTTATTGTGTGGAGCAGCTGATACACACATGCTGATTAATGATTTCTGGTTAATTCCTCCTGTCTGCAGGAATGGCTTTTTTAAAAAAAGTCTAAAGTCACTTTTTTTCAATGCTGTTGTAACCTTGAATGGTCACTAAATGAACTGTTGTTCAAGGACTACCTGTAAATAAACATTCTTCCTTAAAAGTCAGGGTACTGTTCCTGTTGTGAACAGTTCCAATGTTTAGTCACAAAAGCGTCAAAAAAACACAAGATTATAGTAAAGCTTACATGGTGAATTGGGGGGGAAAAAAATATCAAGGTAGTATTTACCACTGTTCAAACAAAGCACACCCTACATGCATTGCATGGTCACAACCAAGGGTGGGATTCTACCAGTTCGCACCTATTCACTAGAACCGGTTGTTAACATTCTAAGCAGTTCAGAGAACCGGTCGTTAGAAGAAATTACTGGCCTAATCCTGTAAGGAAGGCAGGAAGGAAACATTCTGGTGTTGCTTACAGAAACTGCCTCTCCGTTAACCCTTATTACATTCTTGGCAGGACTAGACTTCCTGTCTCAGGAACTTCTCTGGAGTATTTTTCCCCCTCCTTTGCTGGTACTTTGCTTGTGTGGAGTGACCATTCAAAGTTACAGTGGCACTGAAAAAAGTGACGTATGACCATTTTTCACACTTACGACTGTTGCAGCATCCCCACAGTCATGAGAGGCCAGGCGAGGAGATGTGTGCCTCAATGTGAGTGATGTTGAGTTGGCCACGCCCAGCCAATAACATGACCTCCAAGCCATGCCCACCCAGTCACATGACCACCAAGTCACGCCCACCACCTAAGCCACGCCCACAGAACCGGTTGTTAAAAAATTTGAACCCCACCCCTGGTCACAACATCATTTTTTGACCCCCTTACCAGATGCCCCTGAGAAATACTAAGCTGAAGCTTCCATTCTAGGTGCAAGAAGTCCAGAACCTGGCACAGGATGCCAGGAACCACGCTCAGGACATCTTGGACCAGGCTCAAGGAGCTCGGAACCAGGTAGAGAAATCCACAGCCAAGCTGAGGGAATTCATCCAGAAGATAAAAGACTTCCTAGCAGGTACCAGAGCTTTGCTCACACCGAACCCTGAAATAAAGCATGTCCAAAAGTGAATGTATCCTCCGGCTGCCTTAATAAAATATAAATCCTAACTTCATAGAACCATAGGGTTGGAAGAAATATTGGAGATCTTCTAATCTAGTCCCCAGCCCAGGGCAAGAATCCTCATGCTCTCCCAGACTACCATAGCAATCCAACCTTCCATTTCCCACTAACCTGTCAGAGTTGAAGAAGCTTCTTGGATGAGAAGCAAAACATCTTCAAAAGAAAAAAAAACAAGAAAGTCCAGTTGCCTCCTGAAAAAGCACATTTAGGACAACCATGACCTGGATGACAGAGAATAGAATAGAATGGAGTAGAATAAAGTAAAGTAGAGTAAAATAGAATAGAATAGAATAGAATAGAATAGAAGAGAAGAGAAGAGAAGAGAAGAGAAGAGAAGAGAATTAGAATAGAATAGAATAGAATAGAATAGAATAGAATAGAATAGAATTAGAATAGAATAGAATAGAATAGAATAGAATAGAATAGAATAGAATAGAATAGAATGGGATGGAATGGAATGGAAGAGAAGAGAAGAGAAGAGAAGAGAAGAGAAGAGAATTAGAAGAGAATAGAATTAGAATAGAATAGAATAGAATAGGGAAAGAATGGAATGGAATGGAATAGAATAGAATAGAATAGAA